CAGACAGCAATCCCGGCGGCCCCAGGCGGTCTCGAGACGCCCCCGAGGCGCCGTCCAGGGGTCTCCGGCGACGCGCGATGCATTCTAAATTGCCCCGGAGGCCCCCAAGACGCCCCCAGAGGCCTTGAAGATGCCGCCCGAGAGCGCCCCGAGAGGGCAAAATCGTAGATTGTCATTTTTGTTCCAATGTTGTTTGCGTTCTCGCTGTTTCGTGTTTCCGGCGCTACAGCGCCGCCCAAGAGGCTCCCCAAACCGCTCCACGACGGACCAAGAGGCACCCGAGAGGGCCCCGAGACGGCCCAAGCGAGCCCCGAGACGGCCCCAGAGACGCCCCAGACGGCGCGAGAGGGTCCCAAGAAGGCCCCGAGAGGGGCCAAAGAGAGGGAACGCGAACTAAAAAATCAAGCACTTCGCCCCAAGATGCCCCCAAGAGGCCCCGAGACGCCCCCGGGATGCACCCGAGACGCCCCGAGAGGCCCCCAAGAAGCCCCGAGAGGCCCCCAAGAAACCCCAAAAGGTTCCCAGAGCCCCCAACACGGCACCCAAAAGGCTTCAGAACTCTTTCTACGAGACCCCCGAAGACATGCCAAGAGGGTACCACAACGACTTTAAGAAGCAATCCAGGATGCACTGAGTCGGCCGCGAGATGCTAGCTAGAACTTGTGCGCGCGCGAAGCGCGATGGTTCTAGTGGGATCACGTCTTGGAAAGTGCGATAGAAGAAACTCAATCGTGCGACTTCTTCCTCTGGCTGATCCAAACTGCGCATGCCCGGACAAAGCTCGACCCTTCTACTGCTGCGCGTCGGTCATGCGTGAGACATGCCCTGCTCCTCCGTAGGTTCAATCACTGAAGCTAGCCGACCAGGCCGGGCCAGCCTTCCCATCTGCCGCCCACCTTGGCAAGGCGCCTGGATCGTGCCGCCCGTTGTCCGACGCAGCTATCTCTCGCCCTCTGCTGTGCACCTCCTGTCATTCCTCATGTCATTCCCCGGTGCTGCCCGTGCTGCCGTACTACTCGAGCACGTCTGAACTAGATTTTGCCGAGGTTAAACTGCGCCTCCCTGGCTATCTTCGGTGCCGTCGCACTAGCGCGCGCCTTGTTCGGGCTCGACTCCGAACCCAGTTGCGCGAGAAGCTGGCGCTGCTGCCTAGCCGCAGCTGCGATGGTCCCAGTCGCCCCCATGTCGGCGCCCGTCGCTGGCAGGCTGCCGCCGCCCACGACCGCCGACGTCGTGAGCCAGGGCCGATGCGCGCGCGCGCTTGATCGCGTGCGCCCCGCGAGGGCAGGATCGCCATCGTCGTCGCGTCAGAACAACCCGCAGTAACATCTTGATTTGCACCGACAGAACTGGAAGCAATCTCCCCGGCCTTTGCCGAAACCATCGCTCTGGGAGCCCATGTCTGCAACCGATCGCCCGACGTGCAGCGCGAGCAATCTTTCCGAGCGCTTTCTTCAGGCCCGGCATCGCCGCGACGGAGTGCCGTGGCGTGGTCCCCCCAGCTTCGGTCATGATCGATTAAATCCAGACTGCGCGCTCCGAATTTCCCCCCCTTCCGTCGCATAGTAGTATTGCTTGGCGTTATCTCTCTACCGCTGCCTCTGGGCGCTTCTGCGAGACCTCTCGCGCGATCTCGGCGTTCCAGGCATTTGCCCTATCAGCTGGTGCCCCCCTTCTGGTTTTGGGGGCTGGGGAAGAATGGCGTTGGTCATCTGATCTGGCATCTCTGCGACTCTCGGCCGCCCCCGTCGCTCTGCCAAATGCCGCGTGACAAATGTCAAATAGCGCCGCCGTGTTTCCGGGCGCCCGGGCGTGCTTCCCCCTGGCCGTCCTCGCCTTGAGGGTCAGAGCTCCTTCTCGTATCTGTTCGGCGTCCAGCGGCTCGGGGCGAGGTTCGCCGCCGACAACTGCCAGCCTGGGCCAATCTCGAAACGACGCTCACCAGGGCGATGGCTCGGAATCTTCAGCCGCTGCTCCATGTCGAAATGGAGCGTTGTTGCGTGCGACTTGATGCGGGCCGTGGGGCGTGCCGCCGCTTGCATCCACAGTGGGCGCCCTGGTCCGGCGATGCGCCCCCGTGTCCTCCAGCTCAGTGGACTTCGCGAGTTGCTGTCTGCATTCTTATGCCCGCGCATCGGAGTGATGCCGCGCTAACTTGGCGGCCTCGCGCGCCGCGAATAGACTGCCGTCGCGGGGCCATTCGCTCTCCCAGCGCCGCTCGTGCTCCAGCCGAGGACAGAAGATGAACCAGACATCGCCCATGCCGAGCTTCTTCTTTTCACTGCTATTAAATGTTTGTGTTGCCTGACAGATGAGCCGCGGGCCCATCCCCCCGCCCCTTCTCCGCGCGTGACTGAGACCTGGCATGGCCGCCGAGGCCCTTCGCGAGGCGCGCGAGACAGGATCGCCTTCTGCTCCTTTCACCTGGGGCTGTCCTGGCTCCCGTGGCCAACTTAAACTTCGGGTTGGGCAGCTGGCCGCGACTTCCAGCTGCTCGTCTCATCATCTTGCAAGTGAAAACGATTAGCTAGCTCTTTTTCCGCCGGCGCCGTTCACTTCTCATGCCGCCGACTGAGAGCAGCCCTGTCGCGCGCGTGTTCGCGCCCCCGGAGGGCCCGCTCGCGCGCGGGGGGTGTCGTCGGCGCTCCCGGTGGGCGCTCCTTAAGGGAACTTCTTGCGAGAAACAATTTTCTGCTCCATCGCCGCGCCGGGGCCGCTCTGAAGCTCCCGCGCGGCTCCCCAGTGCGTCGCCGTACTGGGCCCCTCTAGCCTCTAAACCACAGTGGCCAGGCTCTTGATGTGCTTGGAGATCGCAAAATAGTTGAGTCAATCGCGCGGCCCCTTCCTGCCGAGCCTGTCAACTCTAGCCGGGCTGCTATGATCGCTGGTAAAATTGGGGGCATCATGGGGCCCCCAAGTCAAGTGGGCTCTTGTTCCAGTCACCTATGATGAAGAAGGGTCGCCCCGAACGCTCGAGCTGCTCCGGGCGCTGTGAGATGATCTGGCCATGGTTGCCCTCCACGTCTTTCCCCTGACCACCTGGCGTCGAGCAGATCGAAGCAAGCGAGAAACGGTCGCGAATAATGCCGTTAACGCACTGCATAGTCCATCTCGAACGTAGCGGGCGCGCCCCTGCTGAACCAGTGCCCAATCTTACCTGAACAGCAACACCTGGCGACGCAATGCGCCGTGCATTCCCTTGATGCTTGAGCCGCCGCTGGAGTCGAAGCGCCATCTATCGCGCGCCCAGCGCGTGGCGACCGCGAGCCCGAGGTGTTGGCGTGTGGCTTCCCTGGAACTTTGGCCAGCGTCGCGTGGCGACTGGGCCAGGGCACCCCCTTGGATCTGCCTTCAAGCGCCCCTGTGCGTCGAGGGCAACTTCTTTCCGGCCGATTCCCAGATCCCGAGTCCAGGTCCTCTTAAGGGGAATCCCCGTTGTCCCAGGGCATTGGGCCTCGACCTTCTCTGGGGCGATGCGGCCCGCCGAGGCGCGCGTTATGGCGCCCGCGTTCCGGCGTGCCTCCCTCTCCTGGATGCGTGGGCCGCCGACCCCTGAGACTATCTCGGGCGCAATCTGAGTCGAGGGCGCCACGCTCCCGCGAGAGCACTTCCGGGGCCCCGAAACCGCCGGAGTTAAAGTCTCCTCCATCGCATCATTTTACGAGGCTGCGCTGCTTTGTTTCGTTTACGAGGCACTTTCAACATTTCACATGCAAATTCGCAACGCAGCAACGTCCACTGTCTGCTGGAGTCGGACCCTGCAAAAATCAATGCCCAACTCATGCACTTGCCGCTGCTGGAGCAGCCAGGGCCTGCCCCCTTCTCCGCTTTTCACGTTTAGCTGACGCTGCCAGTGCGTCTCGTAGTCGATTCCTCGCCTCGGTGATGCGCTTCTTCTCGTCCTCTTCAGCGACCCCGTCCAGCTTGAGCCCCGCGTCGGGGTGGACATTCTGGAGGTCCTCGTCCTCGGGAACTGGGGTATCCCCTGCTGCGTCCATTGGATTATCACGGAGCTCAGGGTCAGGCCGACCACGAGCACCACCTTCATCAGCTTTCCTTTTCGCCTCAACTCGTTTTGCAGCCTCCTGCTCCAGGTGCGTCTTGAGAAATTCGAAGGCCTGCTCCTCAGCTTGCATGGGGCCACGCTGGGTCCACCGCAGCCCTCCCACAGAGCTGCAAAGCTGGATTCGCCCCACTTGCCCGCTCACGCACGAGAGCTTCCGTCTTGACCTGCTCGAGTTTTTGCTTGCGAGGCTGATGGTTTGCCAAATTCTGCTTCTCGGCTCCTCGATTGGCGATGGCCTTCGCGTGCTCCTCTTCTCGCTCTTGAGCCTCTCCTCGCATGCTTGCTAATCTTCCTGTAGGTGTCCTCCATACGCTGTCCAAGGTGGAACGGCGTGAACTTCGTGTGATCCAATGGCTGATCCACACCTGCCTTATCCCAAATCTGCACAATATCACACGCTTGGTTGGGCCATTCGGTTCTGTCATGTCCGTGCGCCTATGCCATAGTTTCCAGCATTGATTTCGCCGTTGCTCGATCAGCCTCGGCTGGCGCTGGTGGGGGCCGTTGCTTGTCTCGGCGTCGCAATGCTGCAGCCGTCCTCCCACCTGGTCTGGTGCCACGGAGCCTTGGGTTTCCCACCGGCATTCTGGAACTACTTGTGCTTATCGGGTACTCATCTAAACGCCTGCTTGCCGCAACGTAGACCGTGGACACGGAAGGCATCTTTGGCAAATGCTGTGCCGTACACCGTCACGCAATTCCCACAAAGCCAAGGCGGGTGCTTCCCCGCTACTCGTGACCCGCCCGAGCGAACCGCGTCGAAAAAACACTCGTGCAAGTCCCGATCTCCTGGGCCGACGCGGCTGGAGGAGGAGGAGGAGGAGGAAGACGACGACGACGACGACGAGGGCGACGACGACGCCGCCGACGACGACCGTGCCGCGAGTGGCGGGGCCGAGGCGGCGCCAACGGGGGGGGGGCGCGGCGGAGGGGCCTCCGGCCCGCGGGCCGCGGGCGCTGGGTCGGCGGCGGCCGAGAGCACCCTGTCGCGGATGACGGCCTCGGACCCCGCCCATGGCACTCTCTCCCCTCCTTGGCCTGGAGGCGGACAGGGGGACGAAGGGAGAGGGGAAGGGGGAAGTGGGGGGAGGGAGGGGAACGGGTTTTGACGTTGCTTGTGTTTCTTAGGGCCCTTTGAGGAGCCTTTCTCGCGCCACGGCCGGACTCGCCCCACCATCCTGCCCTCCGGACCCAAACCTCTGGGCGTCGCGAAAAATATCCGGAAATGTTTTCTCACTATTTCGGCAACTCGGGGGCCCACGGCTGGAAACAACGAAACACGACGTCAGAGATATGGGGTGGAGGAAGGAAAATGGATGCTATTGCACTATCGCCACTGCTTTGGTACACAGGTGCTGCCAGTAGATGATCTCAAGCCTGCAGGTGTGTAGATATGTGTCGCTATGAGACCTTCGACCTGGATGGATTCTCGACGCGCGTCGTGAAGCGACGGTGAACACGGTCCTCGTATTCGGTTTCTTCTAAGACCTTCAGCTCTCTCTGGAGGAGGATCCTGATGGGACTCAGGGAGCAGGGCGGAATAGGAGAGAGGGAGGGAGGATGAGGGCTGGAGAAGAGAAGGGAAGCGGAGGAGCCTGGAGGAAGGTAGTATGCCCCTCCCCTTACCATCCTTTCAGGTCGCACAATTGACTTGCAACTTTGCAGTCCTTCACCTCCTCCTCCGGCATCCTAGTGGGTCCGAGTCCGCGTGCCAAGCTGGCTCCAGGTGTGGGAGGGAGCAGGGGCGGAGGAGACTGTGGGAACGGGCGTAGGAGGGAGGAAACGGGAAGATGAGGAAGAGGAGGAGAAGGAGGCGGAGGAAGAGGAGGAGGAGGACGAGGATGACGAGGAAGATGCTGCTGCTGCTGCTGCTGATGATGATGATTATGATGACGTGGATGATGATGGTGATGATGATGATGATGCTGATGATGATGATTATGATGACGTGGATGATGATGGTGATGATGATGATGATGGTGATGATGCTGCTGCTCCTGATGTCGATGATGCTGTATAATGCTGCTGATGCTGATGATGCTGCTGATGATAATGATGCTGCTGATGATGCTGAGGATGCTGATGATGGTGCTGACGATAATGATGATGCGGATGATGCTGATGCTGCTGATGGTGCTGCTGCTGATGATGCTGATGATGCTGCTGCTGATGACGATGAGAGGGAGAATGGGGGAGGATGAGGAGGAGGTGGACGAGGAGGAGGAGGCGGAGGAGGAGGGGGAGGAGGAAGAGGACGAGGACGAGGAGGAGGAACGAACGGCCACCTCTGCAGACAACCAGCAGCGCCTAAGCAAAAACGAGGAGGAGGAGGAAAAGGATGACGAGGACGAGGAGGAGAAGGAGGAAGAGGAAGAGGAGGAGGAGCAGGTGGAGGAGCAGGTGGAGGAGCAGGAGGAGCAGGAGGAGGA